TAAAATAGAGTACTGAATTAATTAAAAAATCTCTGCTCTCGGACGGGACGAGCAGTTCACCACTAAATTAGCATAGTGGTTTGATTGAGAATAAATTAGTTATTGCTCTTCAACAGATTACAAGTAAATATGGCTGAGAAGAGCCCATATTAAACAGATATTTCACTACTCCCGTTGAAGCCTCCGTAATTCGGATTAAATTAAATTGGAGGAATTTTGGCTATCGCGCTGGTGTTTGTTGCGAGTACATGTTTGTTTGTCTAATTGTTTCTATATTGGTTTGTCTACCCGCCGTCTTGTGTATGTTTTGTAACAACTAACAACGAATCAGTCCATAGCCAGGGTAAAATGAACTAAACTTTAGTTATCTCACCAAAAGTAAATGACTTGAGGAAACATAAACGAATGTTGTAGAGCAAAATTATACATTGTAATATAAATGTGCGGCAAAGAGAAATAAAAATAAAAAATAAAATAAATCTGTCTGCTCAACTAGGTCAATGTTGTATTATTTGTTTCATTTATTCTTAAATCTATGTATTGTATGGTAATGATGAATAAAATAAAAAACGTAATGTATTGAACACATTCCGAAACAAAGCAGATAAGCAGAATAGACTCAGACATAATTGTGATTGGAACCTTTTGCACTGTTGCTGCAAAATGAAAACGTTGTTGATTGTCTGTTCCAACTAGCCACTGGAATAGGACAATTGATATAAATTGAAGTTCTATTACAGTTTTAAATATAGTTTAACATTCTTTATAGGGCCGGGACTTTAACGCGTTAATTAAGATTAATTAATTACACAAAAATTAACGCGTTAAAAAAATTAACGCATTTTAATCGCACTTATTTTTGCACCGCGGAACGTTTCTCACTGGATGAGTTTCAGGCGTACCGATTATACTGGAGCACCAACTAACGTTCATGACTTCAGACAACAACAAACCACAGTGAACAACAGTGGGAAATGTTGTTTTAAAAAAACGGACGGATGGAAGCGTCGATAAGAGCACGGTTGTGTGCAAATTATGCAAAAAGGAATTCGCATATCACCGCAGCACATCAAGCCTCAAGTATCACCTCAATGCAAAACATATAGCAGCTAGCGTGGACGTTAGCCTCTTTTATCGCGTTCACACCAAAAAGAGCCGGTACTAAAATTTGTTCATGAGAACCTTTTTACCCCCACGAAACGGCTCTCTTGTGAGAAAAGAGCTATATTTCTGATTGGCTGGGCGGATTGCAAACCACGCCCCGTAAAACTCCCAAAAAGTTTTGTGAAGCCGCCATTTTATTATCCTCGCATTAGCATTATTAGCATTAGCCCAGCGCAGAAACGCAGAGAGACTAACTTATGGCAACACAAAATAAACATGGGAGCGGTGGAGATGAGGAGGTGTCGGCGTTCTGGTGATTTACTCGGAAGGCTTCAGTAGAAGCTGCTGGGAGTCCCAGCAGCTTCTACTGAAGCCAGTCCCCAACTCCGGGGACTTCCGGCCGGGGACTTTGGGCGGCAGTATACGCCGTGAAGTGGTTTGCGGCCTGCCAGTAAACCCAAAGCAGAAGAAGAATAAGTGACGTCAGCGGCTTCATTTGCCTAATCCGCCCCCAGGTTCAAAGAGTTCTCATGAACTAAATTCTCATGAACCTTTGTGGGAAAAGTACTGCGGTGTGAATGCGCCTAATGGTATACTAAAATCCACTAAAAAATTGCTTCTCACTGTTCTTAGGTCAAATATTTATATGTGATTAAAAATGCGATTAATTTCGATTAATTAATTACAAAGCCTCTAATTAATTAGATTAATTTTTTTAATCGAGTCCCGGCCCTAATTCTTTATTAAACTGTTTCAAATTATTTCCAGTACAATTGGTCTACAGACATTACTACAATTCTAATAGTTGTTGAACTACTGAGCTTATGAACAATAGAGTAAAGGTCGCTGGTTAAGCCAGGATCAATATATTTGTTGAGGTTTTTATTGTGTACATAATAAATGTGTTTAAATGAATTGAGCAATTTTTAAAGGAGTATAATGTTGCAATCTCTTTGTGATAAGTAATTGCAGTTCCAAGATAGATGTTGTTTTCCCTGGGCCTCTCCTTCACAGGCCCACACAATAAATCATGAGACTTCCAAATCTGAACAGACAGAAATCAGTAACACAAATCCATGAAGGGGTTCTAATGGGCCCAATTTAAATACCATAAGGAGAGTATTCAACCAGCTGTTTTGATTTCTTAATTTTTTTTCTAGTTTCCTTCGAGTTCAGTCTAAGCTATAATTGTTTCTCATAAACATTCGCACCGCTGGTTTTAAACCTTGAGCAGAGAAGCTGCACACACACACACACACACACACACACACACACGCACACACACACACACACACACACACACACACACACACACACACACACACACACACACACACACACTTTGGATGAGGAGTTGCCTTATTCACTTTTTGCCTTCTTTAGAGTTATTAGTAATTCAAGATTAATTATTGAATTAAATGTGCTCCATAAGATAAAATACTGAAGCTTTGACTTGATCATTTCGGTCACAACATTAGACCTTGCTACATCTAATAGAAATATATAAAAGCATTTATTTGAATTGTGTAGCAGTCAGTTTATAATTTTGGCAGCACTGTTGAGCATTTTGAAAATGTATTTTCATGCCTCTGCAAGGCTTAGTCTTTCTATCTGTATAGCCAGTGGTGTAACTAAGTTCATAAACTCAACAAGTACTATACTTGGGCACACAGCAAAATCAGCAGTGCTAATTTAACTCTTATAGAGTCAAATCCAACACTTTTAAAGTGTCTATATAGGTCCACACTGTTCTGAGTTAAAACTACACTTTTGAAAGTGTTAAAAGGTTTACACTAGGACAGAGTTCCAGCAACTCTCTCTATAGTTAAAATGTAACTCTGGTCAACACCGGTCAGTGTTAAATGTACGCAACACTAGCTTGCAGTGTCAAAAGTTAACACCACAAGTGTACATTTTTAACACTAAATAGAGTTAAAGTCATATTAACACTATTAAGGATATACAATGTAACTCAATATTTAACTCTTTAGAGTTGATTCATAAGCACTGTAGGGTGTCAATTTATAATTTCACCTACACACAATGCAACATTATTAATAAAAACGATATAAAAGAAAGACACAAGCCAAGTTTCAAAGTTTGCAGTTAACATGTAACTGTATTTGTGTGAAAACAACACATACAACATAGTCTTACATTAACATTCCACAGTACGTCCATGCAGTCCTTAACAGCACAGGTTACACAATATGACAATGTGGCACTATGTATGTTTTTCCATCCATCTCATTAGAAAACTGTTTGTCATAGGGTCTATAATAACGTAAATCATCAATAGAAATAACAGAAAATGAATCAATCGTCTCCTCAATACAGTATGAACTATAGTGTTCATCAAAATACAGTGTGTCCACTTTGCAAGTCAAAATGAAAGCTCGATCTTCATTTAGAATGATATTATTGATTTTTCCAAAAACAGGAGTTTCTTTATCAGTTCTTATGGAAACAAACATTCCAATTTGATAATCAGTTCCATAGTTCTTTACCCAGTTAGTAGTTGACACGTCGCAGTATGCATTCACCTTAAATGCAGCACTTAAAGCCTCACCACCCTCCAAACTGTCGATCATTTCCTTCCTGACTGGACCAAACTCGAACCTCTGAAAATTAAAATTCTCCCAGTGATAAGCCAAATGTCTTTGGTGTTGTTTTACTAAGCTTTTTGTAATGTTTTTGAAATTCTTCACTGATCTTTAAAAAAAATTATGTTTGGCCTCAAATCTCGTGCACCATACATGTAGGAGTGGACCTATTTTTCGAATACACCTTGTATAATGTATCATAAAATGATGCTTTGGAATCAGTCTTCTGTCAGGAAACAAAGATTTGAACAGCTTGTGGTGATCAATGATTAAATGCTTCAAATAATATGTCATACCATTTGTAATAATTGGTGAAAAAACAATATTCACAATCTGAATCAAGAGGAGGAGCAGATTCCAACAATTGTTGTTTCTTTCAACAACATCACCAAGAATAAGGGGAGCATTTCGCAAGAGACACCATGACTGAATTGCATTCAATCCAAGATTTTTGAACTTGAAGATTCATCAGTTTCTCGTTGAGTGTCCACATTGTCCATAGTACTAGTTGAACCAGTGTCCCTGTGCAGACTGAAGAGGTGCTTTTTGAACCCTGAATAAGTACAATAGGATAAAGAACATCCCGGCTGGCCACATTTCAAACGTAATGACTTTCCAGGATATAAACCATGGTGAAATTTCAAATGCTGACAAAGCAATGCAGAACTTTTGTGGTGTCCCTTACAGATAAAACAAATCAGCATATTTGCATCCAGTGATGTAAATAACTTCAGATATCAGTGTGCAGAAGCATTGCTCTGAGTTCTTTGACTCTGGGACTTTCCTTGGCACTTCCAATATCAATGTTAAATACCATGGTTTGTATGAAAGTGTAGAAGCTGGTGAGGGATTCATGGTAGTTGACACTGAAGATGAAGTGAGCTTTGAAGAGTTCATCGAAGGCTGCCATGGATGTCTGCCCCTTGCAAGGGATGGCCTTGTGGTCAACGATGACGTAGAACCGTTGAATGTTGTTCTTCTGTTCACCAACACACAGCAGGAAGGGCTGCCCTGGTTCCAAACTCGAAAGGAAGGTCTCAACACTGGCTCCAATCTGCAAAAACGTAGAGAGACAGAGAAGTTTTAATGGCATACTAAGCTACTTAAAACAAAATTGTCCCAACTCAAGGAGTGCCAGTGATATAACAACTGCATACAAAAACTAAAATAATGCCTACCTTGAGATATCTCACAACATGGCTGACAGCTTGATACGAGCTAATTTTAGCACTCTTCTTATGGCCTTTTTAGGTTGGTGGGAGTAGATGAACCAAGAGTAGAATGCTTGACAGGTCACTGTCCCATCCTAGGGGCAAAAAATATGCAAATATAACAGTCAGTCGTTTAAAGCTGAAAATAGTCTTAAATCAAGGTTATGCAACCGATAACATTGACAGGTCTCAAGATTTTCAGTAAACAAAATCTGCAAGAGAAAATACTTGCCTGACTCATTTGAGTTTTGTTGTGCAGACAAGAGGTCATCAACATGAACATTAGAGTGTAGGTTCTTGCAGTCTGCCAAGATCCTAGGTTTGAAGAAAGTGGGCCATCTCGCCAACATTTTTCCAGAAATCTCTTCTCCAAACATCCTTGTGAAATCTTGGTCAACCTACAGGAGAAACACCATGAGTCATGGCAACCCCTCAGACCATCACAATAATAAATTAAATATGACATGTTGTTCTTACCAAGCCAGGGATGTCAAGGAAACGAGGAAACACATCCAGGACTGTTGAAGAGGCTTGCTGGTCCCAAGTCATTGCTTGCCGACACTGAAATGTTGCCTTCATCTTCTCTTTGACAACTGATTCGTCAGCTGAATGCTTTATGAAGGATATTGCCTCTCTGCATTCCTCGCCAGTCAGTTGCTCACAAGTCAAGAGAAAATCCCTCTTGCTCTTTGGACCATCTTGATAGGTAGTGCTGGGGTAGCACCTCCGGGACTGAACCGCAGTGTTGCGCTGAACCGTCTTTATCCTCCATGCCAAGTAGCCAGATCCACCATCTGCATCATAGTAGTGTTCCTGTAACATCCAAAAATAAATCAAAACTGAGAACACAGAAGTAATAGCATTACAGGAAGGTTGTTCAAAAAGTTAAGAATGAACACACTTCCTTTTCACAAATTCGAATACAGGTCATTCATTCATAGACTTACGTATCCATTCTTTGAGTATGGATCTCTTAGACATGGAAATAGAGTGATGATGCCAAGAGCACACTTTTCTCGCACATGTGTTGGCGGGATCCTCCTTTAAAAAAACATATATATATTTTATCTTAAAAGTATAAATGCCTTACAGCTTTAGATTGTTTTAACATGTGAGCAGCTGTTTCCAAAATGTACATTACTTAGCACTATCTGTGAAAACATGATTAACACCAAAAGGGAATATTCAGTCCTTACCCATGAACTTCGATCATGTCAGCCACCAGTAGGTTTACCATCTGTCGTCGTGTACCATCCATCAATGTTTTAGTTGTCGCATACTCTTGCAAGATTTTTTCTCCCCCTAGCTTAGACTGGAGAACATCGCTGACCATCTAGAAGATAAAGAAGAATCATATGGGAAGTCATTATCTTGGGCATTCCATACAAATCATAGGTTATCTGCCCAATATATCCATGTTTAATGATTAATAAAGAACCGAGTAAATTGCAAAAGTGTAGTCCCCTGTACCTCTTTGGCTGATTCCCGATCAGCGTGGACTCTTTTCACTCCACTGTCTCTCTCAAGAACTATTCTTGCATCTGATGAATCAGACACCGCAGAGGATGAAGCATTCGTCACGGAGAATGAGGTGTCTGAAAGGTCCGACTCCAGCAAAGTGTGCGATACATTTTGAAGCACAACTGCAAGATAGATAAAAGAATGACATACTCAATGAAAGAAGAAAAAAAACATACTTTCAGCCCTCCAAACGATGTTACAGGGTAATCTCAGCAAAAACTCAGTAGGGATGGGTCCCTGATTTTCCATTGCGAGTCTGAATCTTACCTGAAGACTGTCCTGTGGACACTTTGACTGTAAGGTTCCCTGCTTGTAAAAGCTCTTCAAAGACATCTGCATCCACCTCTGTCCCTGATTCATCAGTCAAGTGCAGCTCACTCTGTAGTGGTAAACCTAACTTTTCTATGACTGAGAGAGAATATTGAAATGTACCACCTGACAATATTGGTACGTTTAACTAAAACAAGATTCATTTGTTAGACTCAAACAATCAGTGATATGTATTCAAGTTATCCATACCTTTCTGAAGAAATGTACTGTAGCTTTCATAGCCTTCTTCAGTCTCAGCCACTTTCACATATTTCTGGCTTTCGCCATATCTTACTTTCACCAACATGGTGTCCTATAAGAATACAAATGTATTAGCAAACATATTACAGAAATATCTAACAGACCTGTTGCTACAAAAATATAATTATGCATTTAAGTGTCGTTGAAATAATTTAGCAAAATGCTAACAGTGGAGCTCTAACGATAGCAGTATTACTGACATGTGGAGCTGAACATGCTAACACGTGGAGCTAAAAACCCGTGGCTAACGATAGCAGCTAATATGACTGACAAGTTGAGCTATTAGCTGCTATCGTTAGCCTTGGGTGTTTAGCTTCACATGTTAGTAATATATATTAAAGTAGCATATATTAGCCTCACATCTAATTCATATTGCAGGAGCTACTATTGTTGGTCACAGGTGTTTACCTCCACGTGTTAGTTATTAATATTAGCTACTATGGCGTTTAGCTCCACCTGTTAATATGAGTTGCTATCGTTAGCCGCAGGTGTTTAGCTTTACTTATAGCAGCTAAACTTGCTAACACTTTAAGCTTACAACCCGCGGCTAACAATAGCAGCTAATATACTAACACATGGAGCTAAACGCCCCAATAACAGACTTTGTAATGATATTAAAAAGATGTTAGGCTAAACACCCCTGGCTAATGATAGCAGCACATATTACTAGCATGTGGAGGGAAGACAGCAGTCAATGTAAAATAATTAATATTTATGTAGCTGAAGGTAAGCGCTGTTCAGCTAAATAAATAAATACCTGTACTAGGCTACTGGTTCGAAACATTTACTTACACTTTGGTCAGTTTATCCTCCAAATAGAATGTGGTGGTATGCTCCTCCGATTTGGTCTCCCGCCTCGACTGCGCGCACACACATTCACAGTCACGGCCACACCCAACAGAGCAACAGCCAGTGATCCACAGAAAGAGAGATTGTAACACTGGCTATGTAATTAAATCAACACTCTAGAGTTGTTTGGAGAATTCAACAATTGACTCCCTGTTTCAACACCAACTCGTTTTGAATAATAACTATCTTGGAGTTGAATGACACTTAAAATGAGTTGAAACAACTCTATATTTAAATTTCCAACTCCAACACTGAAAATATAACACTTTTGATTTTGCTGTGCACAATTTTGAGATACTGGTACTTTATTTGAGTATTTAAATGTTTTGCTACTTTATTCTTCTACTCCACTACAGTTCAGAGGTACATGGTGTACTTCTACTCCACCACATGTATTTATATAATAATAATAATAATCCTTATATTTATTATTTTATTATTTATTATTTAATACCTTTTAGTTACTTTCAGATCTGGATGAATGATGTGAAATATAATCAAGTGTTAAATCAGACTTTAGTTCCACCTGGAGTAAATCCACAAGCTACCCTGCAGTATACAAAGTCATTCAAACTAGCTGCACCTTTACCAGCTTTGAGAACACTCATGATCAATCATTATAAAACACATCATATATATTATTCTGAAATGGACCAATCTGCACAACGATTACCTTTATTGTCGCTATTTCCACTATATTTTGTTGAGAATACTTTTATACTTTTACTTGAGGAACATTTTGAATGCAGTACTTTTACTGTAACATAGTATTCCTACACTCTGGTACTTCTACTTTTACTCAAGAACAAGATCTGAGTACTAAAGCTAACGTTAGCCGGAAACATTTTTCAGTTCACTTCACGCTCTGACGCTCCGACAGGGAGCTCTGCTCTGAACACCCCGTTCTGGCAGCTGTTCACCAGCGGTCCAGTCTGTGCCACAGTCACTCCGGACCACACAGCTAATATTAACGAACACATCCGTAGGCAGTGATGTACCTGAACGCGTTCATATTTTGGGCGAACGTGAACTGAACGTACTGTATTTCCGCTAGATTAACGTAATTGAGAACGCGTTCATTCTCAGCGCTGTATAACGGCGTTCAAGAGTGCGTTCATTCTCAGCACTGTATTATAACGGCGTGGTGTTGTTGCAGGAAGTCCCGACGGAGAATACTTTTGCGGTAGTACATCTCTATATACATCGATACAACATTACGTGTTGATAGAAATCATCACATAATGAAATAAGACCCCACGGTTTGATGATTGATAGGTGTGTGGGCTGTCTTCCATTTTGACACACAGAAAAATGGGGCTATCCACCCTTATCCACAATATAAGTAATTCACACAGCCTCTTCCCTATGGGAGGAGCAGCAGGTTCAGCTTCATTTAAATATGTCGTGTAGTAATAGATGGATTTATGTTTCCTCTCAAGAGAGAATGTGTATTTTATGTTAGTATTTCAAAAATCTCCTGGGGCAGAATCCCCCCAGACCCCCTGCGGGGGTTGGGTTTTCAGCATGTCAACTCTTTTACCTGTGGGGAAATTGCAGGATTGGCTCCAGGTCGCCCTTTTATTTACTACAAGACAAATGTGCCTTTTATTTGATACAGTTCAATTTGGATTGAGACAGGGAAATAATCTAAACCTCACGCGTGGCGTTTCACTGTCAAGGGGGCGATATAGGGTGTATGTAATTACATTTCAAATGCTGATTTGAGCCCCACCACTGTATGGGTTAGCCCTACCATAGATTACCCAACACAAATACTCGGGAGCCGATAAGTCAATTAATTGCTTATCGCGACAGGCACACAATAAAACAGTGGAAACAAACATGTGTTTGACTTTCATTAGTGAATGAAACTGTGTGCCTTTTATAGTCTGTGTCCAATATTGTGTATTTGTATATATATTATATATATATCCTAAATATATGCTAAGGTCCCGCTACTGACACGATAGCAGTCATTTTGTGCGCATGTGTGTAATTAAACCCATGATATCAAAATCTCACTCCAGCCAGGTACCCAAAGTTGGCAACCCTGCCCATACCCCAATAATATTTTATTGCAGATCTACATGAATCACACAAACGACCTATTTTGGATTCAAAACGGCAAATTTTGCCAAAAGATGACAAGTTTGCATCCCTGCTTGCTATCGTTTTCATCACAGAGCTGGGAAAATGGTGTATTGATTACTGATCCGTGCATGTCCAATTTTTTAACTGACTTTAGTTCTAATGTTGATGTTAATTTGATTTCGACCCATAAGTAATTATTTAAATTACCTCAACATTCCACATGATGGATTAGTGCTCCACATTTTTCCCACTAATTTGTTTATGATTAGGCAAATGGTAAAGAGACATTGATGGCAATATTATAAGGAATCATTCTGTACATTTTCATTGTTATGCGGATGATACTCAACTATATTTATCAATCAAGCCTGATGAAATTAATTATCTAAATAAAATTCAAGACTGCCTTAAGGACTTAAAAACGTGGATGACCTTAAACTTTTTGATGTTAAACACGACCAAAACTAAAGTTATTGTACTTGGCCCGAAGAATCTACGAAACAAATTATCTAAGGATATACTAACTGTGGATGGCATTAATTTGGCCTCCAGTGAGACTGTAAGGAATCTTGGTGTTATATTTGATCAGGATTTATCCTTTAACGCCCACATAAAATCAATTTCAAGGACCGCCTACTTCCATCTACGTAACATTGCAAAAATCAGGCATATCTTGCCTCAAAACGATGCAGAGAAACTAGTCCATGCATTTGTTACTTCAAGGCTGGATTATTGTAACTCTTTATTATCAGGGTGTACCAAGAAGTCAGTCAAGTCGCTTCAGCTGATTCAAAATGCTGCAGCTTGTGTACTAACCAGAGTTAGGAAAAGGGACCACATTACTCCTGTTCTGGCTGCCTTACACTGGCTCCTTATAGAACACAGGATAGAATTTAAAATTCTTCTTCTCGCCTACAAAGCCCTTAATGGGCAGGCGCCATCTTACCTTAAAGAACTCATTATACCCTACTGTCCTACTAGGGCATTGCGTTCCAAGAATGCAGGGTTGTTGGTTGTTCCTAGAGTCACTAAAAGTACAATGGGAGCCAGAGCCTTTTCTTATCAAGCTCCACATTTATGGAATCAGCTTCCAGTTTGTGTTCGGGCGGCAGACACCCTATCCGTTTTTAAGAGTGCGCTTAAGACCTTCCTTTTTGATAAAGCTTATAGTTAGGGCTGATTAGATTTAGCCCCTAGTTTTGCTGATATAGGCTTAGTTTGTCGGGGGACATCTTACTTCTTCCTTCTCTCTGTCTATACTTGTGTACTCTCATGTTCCGATTAACCCAGCTTCCCCAAATGTCTTTCTTTTTGGTGTCTGTATACGCCGGGATCCGGAGTCATGGATGATCCTGCGCTCCTCTGTCCTGGATCTTGAGTCGTGGCTGTGGTCCTGGATCATAGGTCCTGGATGGATATCCTCGTGGATTCGTCTTCCTATTATACACACATGCATTTCCAAACATTTGGACTACCTATGTTGCAAATGTATTATCTTTTCAATTTACACACGGCATCTATTGCACATCTGTCCGTCCTGGGAGAGGGATCCCTCCTCTGTTGCTCTCCCTGAGGTTTCTCCCATTTTTCCCTTTAAACTGTGGGTTTTCTTCGGAAGTTTTTCCTTGTACGATGTGAGGGTCTAAGGACAGAGGGTGTCGTATTGTCATACTGATATTTTGTACAAACTGTAAAGTCCACTGAGACAAATGTAACATTTGTGATATTGGGCTATATAAATAAACATTGATTGATTGATTGATGACCCCGTGTCTTTTTTTGTTAGCAGGTGGTTCCATTTTGCCTATGGCTTTGGACAGCTTCACCAAGAGTCACCCAGTTCTGCTCTGCTGCGGTCCGGCTGAGTGCAGTCACAGAGATGCTATGGCTACTCTACATGACATTAATGGTTTGGTCCGAGAATGGGCACCATTTCCTGCTCCCAGAGAGAATGACGAGCCTCAAACTGGACTTTACAGCCGTGGATACTGTCTCACGTGGGCCTGCTCCCCCCCACTGAGCCATGAACTGAAAGCTTGACATCTGCTTTGTACACCTGGAAGCCTCCCGGCCACACCAGCACCAACACTTGGGTCAGTTAGATGAGACTAACGGCTTCACTTAGGGCATATGGGTCAGAAATATGACTCTCGTTACCACGGAGTGGGTTGTTTGTTTTTTTAAGGCTGTTCATACTGCTATGCAGAGTGAAAAGCCCCTACTATTTTTAAAAATAGGCCTAATGTCAGGGGCCTCTTACTTCTACTTCTGCATGTATTCACATTATATGGACCATGTTTCCACCTGGTGAAACTAGAGGCTGCACGGAACTCAGGCTACAATACAACCATTATGTTCTGCTCTAACGATTACATTTATAGATTCTACATCAAAATAGTTCGTTTTTTTATTGTTTCCAATGATAACGTCACCTTAAGTGGAGGAATGCAAACCTGTTTTCAAATGTAAGATTTTGAATGTGTTTGACATTTCTCAGTAATGACACCCTCAGACGCTCACTATCATTCATGCTATGCCTTCAGTGATAACTCAGATGTTAAGGGGGTTGAAGCTTTTCCTCCCAAATCAGCTATGCTTTGTGTTTTCAACAACGGTGTGCATTTCCTGCATGATATATGTTTCTCACAATTGTGTTAGCTGCGCACAGGTGATACTGAGTCTTCTCGAATGGATTTTTACCTATACCGTGCTTACATGGACTCGTATGTTTTATTTCATATCTAACAGAGAAAATAGAAGGAGATGTGGAAGAGAGGGATAGGAAGGAGAGAAGAGATATTTGCGAGTTGCATACTGATTCTGAGTCTTCTCGATTAATAGCTTATATAGACAATACCATGCTTAAATAGACTCCTAAATTATTATTCATATGTGACATATGTAAGAAAAGGGAGGGAAGAGTCAATTATATTGAGTAATTGATTTCATATTGGAACATTCATTTCTAAAACCTATGTTTTATGGAAGAGGAAATGTACTTCTGATAAACTAATCTTTTATCAAACGGTAAATGGTGAATTAATATAACATTTAGAATCATTGAGAAAGGGTTATATCCACAGGGACTAGCTCACATTTAACTTAAAATAAAATGTCTCTGCTTTGGACTGATGAGTATATGATTCTTGCATGTTAAATGACTAACATAAACCTTACATTT